TTACAAGAAAAAAAAAAAAAGAAAGAAAAGCACGGCATTACCCCGTGACCAAAATAACGCCATAAAAAAAAAAAAAAAAAAAAAAAAAACAGATGAAGCTGAGCTTAACTGCACATTAATCTGAGCAAATGTGCATCATAATGTTCATACTTCAATGGCTTTGTTATTGTTTCCAATCCAGACCTGTGTGAGTAATTGTATTGTTTTCACCTGTGTCTTCATCTCCTCTTCCTGGAAGCTCATTGGCATGCATGATGATACTTGACTGGGTGCAACATTTCACCATTATTCATGGACAGAGTACACCTCTGAGCGAGACTGACAGATCAAAAGATGATGATGATAGGTTGGGGCTACTGGTGTTTTGGGTGATGAATGGCCCCATCGTTCAGAGATGGCTTCGCTGGAGGAAGTTTAAGGATGTTTTTCATCTAGTTGTTAAATTTCCAACTTCTGATGCACACTGCTTTCAAATGTGATCCGTGCTTATTTGCATGTGTGTGTCAAACACAAAGAAGGGACAACAGTCTAAAGGTACGCTTAACTTTTTTTTACTACCACAAATGTACTAAAATGTGTAGAATCTCCCTTATTTCCTTTTGTGTTATCCTTTATTGAACAAGGCAAACCAAAACCCTCTCCCAGCCCCTCCTCTTTCCCTCCAGCTTGTTGTTTTGGAGTCATTCATCAGGAGAAGTGAGACTGAACAATCAAGGGAAGCGCTGGCAGGATCCCTGTAGAGATGAGGCAATATTGAATTGATGGTATCATTTAAAAGCTGGAAAAAAAAATAGAAGAAAGAAAACAACACTGTTTTTTTTTTTCCTTACTGTCTAAATGAGACAGCCGTGTGGGTCTCAGTGCATTTCATGGTCTAATCTCTTAACCCTCCTAAAAAAAAAAAAAAAGAAAGAGATAGAAACAAGCACTTTTGGAAAAAACGCAGTTTGTATCTTTGTATGGATTTTGAAATCATCTTGAGAGAGAGTCACTCTTTATAAAGTGTTTGCAAAAAAAAAAAAAAAAAAAAAAAACACACACGCACCCAAAGCTTCTTTTGTCAATAGTGCAATAAAAATCAATTTGCACTGTTGTGCATTTCACAGAGTGGAGACCAAATTTGCTTGCTCAATAGACCATGAGGGTCAGTTGCTCTGCGCCACTCAACATGCATCTTGCATTCTGCCTCTGTTCATTGGCTGCAGCAGTCAACTTTAGATTAAAGAAATGCCAAAATGGAAAAATGAGCAACATGATCTGTGAAAGTTGTGTGGCAATGACAGGTTCACCATAGAAATGCTACTTTACACTTTTTAACTAAGTTTTATTGCTTTCTAGACATCATCAGTAAACAGAGACTTGTGTAAACAATACTCAAACATAACACATGTTATGTTCAGCAGATATATGGCACTTTGGGAAAGTATTGCCATTATAGATTGAATCTGCTTTTCCATTTTTGTTACTATGAAATGTCCCAGATCGTCATACTGATTTTATTATGAGATAAAGGTAACTTGAATGAGTACGAATACAGTTTTCATAGCATTTTTTTTTTTTTTTTTTTTGTAGGGGGAAACCCTACCTAAAGCGATCTATAAAAAAAAAAAAATCTTTAAATTAAATGTTATTTATTAATTGCTCATTTTTGTAGAAAATGAGTTGAAATTAATTTTTCTCATACAATTTTTGCTAGACCATTGTTCACCAATTTTTATTTNTTTTTTTTCTCTCACCGCTTAATTGTTTTGTCTTATTTGGCTAAAATTGTTTTCTTTAAGTTTTGTTTACAGCAATTTGATTATGTCTGGACAGTATATTAACTTCTTAGATGTGACTTTTGCACAACTTGGCTAATCCCAAGGTTTTATTAGAACTCATCATGGCCTTACTTTTTTTTATATTCCTGTAAATGGCTTAAATAGCTTCTTTATTGGGGCAAGCAGGAAAATGCTACTCCCTCAAGGCATGCACTTCAGTTTAAATCAGCATTGCTAGAACCATAAGCGCCAATACATTATCTGTCTCAGCATCAAACCCTGTGGTGAACCTTAAAAACAATGTCGTTTCCAGACAGATTTTCTTTGTCTTCTCTTGTACTAGAAATTGAAACAGTATTCCAGTGTGATGGCTCTGCTGGAATTTTTTTTGTTTGTTTGTTTGTTTTTCCTCCAGCTGCAAGACAATACAAGACATACAAAAGATAAGAGTACAAAGGCACACAAGGCCATGTGAGGTCGATAGAATATCAGATGAATTATTTAGAAAAAAAAGATCTGAATTCTATCAAACACAGTAAATTGAAGTAGATGTCGATCACTGGTCTTATACACAGTAACTTGTGGACACAATTAAAACCTGGCCAATGCAGAAAAGGCAGAACTAAATAAATATTCCTAATAAGCTATATGAGCTAAACCTGTATCAAACCTGTATCAAAATTAAATGGCATAGATAAAATTATCCACAGTCTAGATAACCTTTGATCAATCTTGAAATCTTTATTTTGAACACTTTGGCAAACAAAATCTGTGTCCAACATTTTTTTTTTTTTTTTTTTCTGTAAGTTGTCCCATGTCTACATTTTAGCAATTTAAATCTTTTCTTGATGCTGCTGTATTTATTTACAAGAAATGCATTAGCCATGAGCCATGCTCTAAATACTAACTCTAAGTTACAAGAAAAAAAAAAAAAAAAAACACACACGCACCCAAAGCTTCTTTTGTCAATAGTGCAATAAAAATCAATTTGCACTGTTGTGCATTTCACAGAGTGGAGACCAAATTTGCTTGCTCAATAGACCATGAGGGTCAGTTGCTCTGCGCCACTCAACATGCATCTTGCATTCTGCCTCTGTTCATTGGCTGCAGCAGTCAACTTTAGATTAAAGAAATGCCAAAATGGAAAAATGAGCAACATGATCTGTGAAAGTTGTGTGGCAATGACAGGTTCACCATAGAAATGCTACTTTACACTTTTTAACTAAGTTTTATTGCTTTCTAGACATCATCAGTAAACAGAGACTTGTGTAAACAATACTCAAACATAACACATGTTATGTTCAGCAGATATATGGCACTTTGGGAAAGTATTGCCATTATAGATTGAATCTGCTTTTCCATTTTTGTTACTATGAAATGTCCCAGATCGTCATACTGATTTTATTATGAGATAAAGGTAACTTGAATGAGTACGAATACAGTTTTCATAGCATTTTTTTTTTTTTTTTTTTTGTAGGGGGAAACCCTACCTAAAGCGATCTATAAAAAAAAAAAAATCTTTAAATTAAATGTTATTTATTAATTGCTCATTTTTGTAGAAAATGAGTTGAAATTAATTTTTCTCATACAATTTTTGCTAGACCATTGTTCACCAATTTTTATTTAGCATGTTTTTATAAATCAATAAGAGTTGATGTCTAATTTTTAAAAAATAATATTTTTTATTTATAGGGGTAAAATTAAGCATAGAAGATGTTAACAATGTTCAAAAATACATTCATGGGCAGTTGGGACTTCCATTTCTTCATATTGAAGGGGTAAATTACAAGAAAAAAAAAAAAAGAAAGAAAAGCACGGCATTACCCCGTGACCAAAAAAACCCCAAAAAAAAAAAAAAAAAAAAAAAAAAAACAGATGAAGCTGAGCTTAACTGCACATTAATCTGAGCAAATGTGCATCATAATGTTCATACTTCAATGGCTTTGTTATTGTTTCCAATCCAGACCTGTGTGAGTAATTGTATTGTTTTCACCTGTGTCTTCATCTCCTCTTCCTGGAAGCTCATTGGCATGCATGATGATACTTGACTGGGTGCAACATTTCACCATTATTCATGGACAGAGTACACCTCTGAGCGAGACTGACAGATCAAAAGATGATGATGATAGGTTGGGGCTACTGGTGTTTTGGGTGATGAATGGCCCCATCGTTCAGAGATGGCTTCGCTGGAGGAAGTTTAAGGATGTTTTTCATCTAGTTGTTAAATTTCCAACTTCTGATGCACACTGCTTTCAAATGTGATCCGTGCTTATTTGCATGTGTGTGTCAAACACAAAGAAGGGACAACAGTCTAAAGGTACGCTTAACTTTTTTTTACTACCACAAATGTACTAAAATGTGTAGAATCTCCCTTATTTCCTTTTGTGTTATCCTTTATTGAACAAGGCAAACCAAAACCCTCTCCCAGCCCCTCCTCTTTCCCTCCAGCTTGTTGTTTTGGAGTCATTCATCAGGAGAAGTGAGACTGAACAATCAAGGGAAGCGCTGGCAGGATCCCTGTAGAGATGAGGCAATATTGAATTGATGGTATCATTTAAAAGCTGGAAAAAAAAATAGAAGAAAGAAAACAACACTGTTTTTTTTTTTCCTTACTGTCTAAATGAGACAGCCGTGTGGGTCTCAGTGCATTTCATGGTCTAATCTCTTAACCCTCCTAAAAAAAAAAAAAAAGAAAGAGATAGAAACAAGCACTTTTGGAAAAAACGCAGTTTGTATCTTTGTATGGATTTTGAAATCATCTTGAGAGAGAGTCACTCTTTATAAAGTGTTTGCAAAAAAAAAAAAAAAAACAAAAAAAAAAAACTACCTTACAGTTTTGACATGACAACCATCTTCTTTTTATAGCTATCGAAGCAAACACTGACTCCATAGAGGATTTGATGCAGAGGTTCCAGGACAACTTTCGTGTTCCCAACACACCAACCAACATGTCCCATTACCAGCATACCGTGCACAGCTCATCAACAGGCCGGCGGAGGCTCTCCAGCCGCACCAGAGGTAAAAAAAAAAAAAAAAAGAAAACAACTCTTAATTATGGGCAGTCTGCTTGTCACCAGTCCAATACTACTAGCCTGATTTTGTGAGAACTGCTGAAGTGTTACTACATTAAAACAAGACTTTAAAAGAAATTAATAATATATTCAAAAATGCAATTATTACTGCTTACTGTAGTTAAAATGTTTTATTGAAGAGACTCGTACATTCCAATGTGGAGAAAGATTTTTCATGCCTTGCATAAATCTTGTGTTTTGGGAAATAATTAGTTGTTCAAAAAATCATTAAGGCTTTGTCTTGGCATAAAAATATAGACATTGGAGAATCTATGTTGAGTAAGTTTATATGTTTGACTTTAGACTTTAATGCTTTTAAAACTCATTGAAAACCAGAATAATTGTACATTAGAATTAAACTACAATTATTTGTTGATTTTTATTCTGTATTTTATTCCCTTCTACCACAGAGAGAAGGGAGCATAGCTCTGTTTTTTTGTCTTCCCACAGATTCTCTCTCATCTTATACAGTCAAAACATAGTGACCGTTTTAACAAATATGTGAAAATAATAATAATAATAATAATTGTTTATGGAAGTTGCGTACTGCAACTTTCAACACAAAACAGAACTGTGCATAGTTATTTGTAGATGTTCTCAGCCTCTTAAGAAAGCATGCAGGTGTTGGGTTGTGTTTGGGGAAAAAAACATGTAGACACCATATAAAAAGTAAGCTACTTTCAAATATTATTAAGACAATATTATTTAAATAATTATAAGTAATTGGGAAGAGTGATTACTCTAACCAGTCTGGGATTTTCATGTTGGATCAATGTACCAACCCCAAAATATACATATGCACTAATTCAGTTATTATTAATGCACCACCCAGTTACAGTACTTCTTTTTTAAAATAAATGTATTCAAAATGAAAATGCTTCTAGAATGTTAAGCTAAAATGCATTATGTTATCTCAGTAAATGTCAAGGTCAGGTAACTTTCAGAGTCCCACTTGGTACTGAGAAAGCTCTCCTTGAATAATATTGTAGACAATATGTGCAAATATTAACTTGATTCTATGGACAGATACCACATTTTATTTACTGCAGAAGTGCTGACTTCCACATGTTTGATGCTTGGACCGAAGTTGTTGGAAAAAATATTTCCCTGTGTGACATTCTCATCTTTTCCCTCCCCCCCCCCCACACATATAGATGTTTCAAATCATCAAACATGTTTTACCCAAAGACTACAATTTGTGTGTGTTTTTTTTTTTTTTTAACCACTTTGATTTTTACCTAGAATGTCTCCCATTAATGCAGTTTTTGTCCAGTCTTTGTCTTGTACCTCGATACCTTTGCCGCATGTCTTCCCTTCTTTCCTGTCAAAAAATGGGGAAAAGGCACTAGCACAACCAAATGTAGACTAGAAAAAAAGACAACAAAAATCAACTGGGTCAATAACCTTTTTCATACAGGGCCGGAATTATTTGACTTTCTATAGTAAAAAAGACCCTAATTTGTAAACTGCATTTTGTATTCACTGTCTGAAATGTTATACAAATGTTAGAAATGCTATATAATGGTTGCTCTGCATGGTACTTTTAAATATGCATGGCTACAAAACCTTTATAATATATTAAAAAGAAAACCTGACATCTCATTTCAGTTTTAAGATCTGATCAGCAACATTAGCATTGAATACAGCTCATTACCTGCAACGATATTTTCAGTCACATATGCTGTAAAAATACAGTCTGTGTCGTTGGTCATGCCATTATGACCACAGATGAAATTTGTATTATAATGAGACATTAACCTTGCTGAGTTTACCCGCCCTTGACAGGACAACCATTCTTTTACTTTAAGTGCACAATAAAAGAATAACACCGACAATTTCTTTTCTTTCCATATTGCACAAGTCTTACACATTTTTCCCAATCACACGGCGATTCAGAGCAATTACATTATAATATAAATCATTTCAATTTGTGTTGTTATTAATTGCCATTGGGAATTTGATTGCGCATTACTTAAGTGTATCATGTGTCAAATTACTGAGCAAAAGAGACAAGGCGATTAATTCCCACAGCCTCAAAACTGTGAAGGGCATGACTGAGACGTGCTTTTCGAGGTCAGTGGTGAAATACGTTCTTTGTGAGTTCATAATTTAAAACCGTACAACGGTTCCTGAAAGTTGACCCACCCTACAACAAAAATCATAAACACTTAGTTGGACTGGGGTTAAAGGCAATTTAACTGGTCAGACTCCAAAGATGAGTTCTGCACAATAGGATAAACAATGTTCACAGAAATGAAGTGACTCGACTTTATTTCGGGACAAAGGGACCAAAGATATGTTTCATTTCGGTTGTTAATGCAACTTGCAAAGCAGCTCTATGCAGTTCATAGACCTGCTTTTAAAATGTGTAAACCATCGTTAACCCACAGAGTGGAAAAAAAAACAGAGAAGTTGTATGCTCATATTACCTTTTTATCAGTGTCTAAGCATGTACTAGCACCCAGTAGATGCTGTCACCGGTTTGCTGGAAAACCCCCCCCAAAAAAAACAACCTTTGATGTAACTTAGATATGTACTGCACAATCTAATACATCATTGATGTGTTTTACAAGAAGCTGTAAAAGGTATGTGGACTGGATAATTGAAGTTACTTTCACAGATTCACATTATTTTCTCATTAACATAACTTTGTGTTATGCAACATCAAGAATTAATGAGCAAACAGGCCTCAGTCTCTTTCAGTTGTTTTTTTTTGAATATCTGCCTGGTGAAGTCTTTTACTTTGGATTTAAGGTTTCTTCAAAGATACAGTGTTTTAGCCAGCCAATGAGATCAAGACATTCACATGTTTGTCCTCACCAGTGTCGCTTGTGGCAAAGAGGAAGAACGCTCACAGGAATTCCTGCTGTGGCTCCTCCTCCCACAGCATGGTAGCACAAAAGTGTTGCTAAAAAAAAATGGGTTCACTTTTTTGTGAGCGACTTTTGCATCCAAAAGAGTCATGATTTCGTGAGGTTTTTTTTTTTAAACTATTTGTTGTTCCTAAAACCTTTGCCGTTCTGACGTACTCAGAAAAAATAAATAAATAAACAAGCACACAGTTTCACAATTTTACTGAACAATACCACAATCTGCACAGCTTTTATTTGGTAACATGCTGATGGTGTGTGACGATGCACTCTTGGAGCTAACAGACCAATATTGACAACAGTAGCAGCTGGCTTGTCTGCACAAGAGGAAACCTTATTGTCTTCAGCGTCTGTGTGGGAGGGAAAACGGTACTTACTGATGGAATATGATGCATGGGGTGTCGACATCCAGCACCACACAGCAATTTTCCCAAAAAGTTTCTTTCTTGCGGTGAAGGAAAAAAAAAATCCAAGCTAATGGCCAATCACTGAATGCGAGTGCTGTCTGTGCCTATCATTGTCCACAAATCTACGCAGAACACCAAAAAGAGCAAAACGTTTTTATCGTACTAATAAAAGTTGCAAAGATATTTGTTCAGTGATAAATAATTTTGACAAATTAATTGTCAAAATTATTGTCATATTTATCACAAAAACTATTAGTGAGTTTTCAGTAAGATGCAACCTGGCAAAGCTGTTCTGGCAAAACACTGCATCTGTTCATTGGGTCCCCATACCTACTTATAGAGATATGCACTGTAGCAAAATTCCTTATTCCCTGTTCAGCATATTGTCCTAGTTTTAGCTGCATCATATACCTGGACTCTTGAAATGTTGACTCATGCATAAATATTATTATCATGCAGTTGTAAAATGCACAGTTCACCAGCTTGCATTTCCTGTTTTTGGAAAATATGTAATTTACTACTACTGCGACTACTATTAATAAGAAAAATAACGTTGATGACAATAACCACATATGTCTTCATAATCATAGACATTTTATTAGGATTTCATTGAAATTATGATGACCAAAATTACATTTAGCAGTAAAGTTGCAATTTATGTCATCCAACTTATGTTCAGTAATGGTTAGCTGAATATTTTTATTTTTTCCAGTTGGTACATTTCTTTGTGTTCTACGTCTGCAGTATTGCCTGTCATTTAATAAAGCACGGGTTGCAGAAAGGTTAGCTTAGAAAAGCCGGTGAACACACTAAACGGCTCAATGAGGCATTTCTTTCCCGTTTGGTTTAGTTTGTACTATTTTCAAGGAGCGATATTGTTTTAATTGTATACTTTAAAGGTTCTACAGTTACTGTCAGATTCAGCAACATCAAATCAAGTATTTATTCAGCTAATCATATTTGCTAGTTTTATGTTGTCTTTACAACCGCAATCTAAAATTCCCACATCTAGAAGGTATCCTAGAAACCCGTGAGTAAACACACTGAAGTAATATTTATGTCAGTGTGAATAGTAGGTTTGTCCTACCTTATTTGCATACGCTTCTGTGCATTCTAATCTCCACTGTTCATGTCTTTCAGCGTGCTAGCGTGGTGAAGGGCTGGTGTTTGATGTTTTGCAACAAGTACTTTGTCTTATTTCAACAACGATAACCTTATGGTTAATATCTGGGATTTCTCCTTAATTAATGTTTTGAAGTGACGCATGAAAGTATTAGCTTTTGGTGTCTTATGTGCTTGCGGGTGCGGAAGGGGGAATGAGAGACAGCAAGAGGATTTTTGTTGCAGAGCTCGGTTTCGCTTTCAGTCGTCTTCAGTCTTTGGTGCAGACCAAACGCAGTGATTACACTTGTTGGTCTGCAGCCCTCAGGCGTCTCTTCACAACACGCCATACATATGATGCACTGCCAAGCTGGAACAGTTTTTTTTTTTTTTTTTTCCCCTAATTTTTTTGGAAACTGTAGTAAGGCAGGAGAGTAGAGCTCCTTGATCAGGGAGCAATCAAAAATCATAATTATGGTGTTTAATATAGAAAATGAAAAAAAAAATATATATATATATATTTACATGATTCCTCATTTATTTGGAACCTATTTGATTTGACTCCAAACTTTCCAAGTCTTGACTTTGTACTTTTCTTGGAACTGATATGTCTTTACACAGGACTTCACTCAAGACTTGATTGGACAGAGTTGAGACCTTCTTGTGCCGTGCAAAACAATGACTTAGTCCCACCTCTGTCAATAGTTCTAAAGATGTTTGATGGACTCTGTACAACCTATTATCTTGCTGTTAACCATAGTTTTTGTGAAGATGCTGTATTAGAGGAATTCTCCTTCTACAGCCACTGGTTTGACACTGGGTGTATTCTGGTGAAACAACGTGGAAGCACTCTTTGTTGATTCTTCATCTGTTTAATGTATCTTCTATTGCTTGCTTACAGTATTGGTTCTGTAGTATGAGATCTAAGAAGCTGCCGGGTATGAAGCACAGCGCTTATTTAATGATGAGTTTGTTTTATGTTCTGTGAGGCTAAGCAGTGACATTAGGCAAATCTTCAAACACTAAATATCTGTAGTGAAGCCAAACACATTTGCAATAGATGACATTCCCCACAAGCAATGACAAACTTTTTATTTTATTTTATTATTTTTCTTTTTATCCAACACAAACAGTGTTGTGTTTAAGGGGGAGAAAGGGAGACATATCCTTGATTAAGACACTTCAAAAAGTGATATGTTCTATATTCTCCATCACAACAATTGTTCAGTCATTCAGCGTGATGAATCCAGTTAACTTTTTTGCAATAACTGTTGCTGTAGCTCTCTCAATTGAAGTTAACCCAAACTTGACTAAGAACTTGTGCTGCATAAACTTAAATTTTCACTTTTGAGCTTTCCCTCAAGAAATACCCTTACTGTTAAGTGAACAACTTAACTGCTTTAATTTTCTGTTGAAAGTAGTTTCAAGCCATAGACTAGTTGATAACAGTCCAACACTCAAGCTTTGCAGAAACTGTATTAGGTGCAGCTGGCATGAAGCCATGTAGAGTGAAAACAGAGATCTGGTATTGATTACAGTCAGCTACTTCATAATTATGATTACCCAAAAATGTGTTTTTTTTTTAACTGATATGTGTAAACCGATTGCAACATCCCTTGCATAAAATACACATTGAATTAACTTCAGGGGAAGAAGTTGTATTTATGTTGAGTAACTTAATTAAAAACATACAGTTCAACTCTAAGTCCTGATTTTAATTTATGACTTGGCATATTGGAGAGCTGCCAGCGGAGCATTTGATTATGGCAGGTGCTATAATCCCATCAAGCTAATTTTTCTGTGTGCTATGGTTATTCTCTGTGTCACACGCATATCTTCTGTAGCTTTGTTGCACAAATAGTATGACTACATATTTTCAAATTTTCAGCTCAAACACTTTGATCTACTATGCAGTCTTTTTTTCCTCTCATTCACACACCCATAAGTGTGTCAGCAGCAGTGCTGGAGTTTGGTGTCTTGCCTTTTTGAGCTTCTGAGTAGAATTGAATCATGCTCACCCCACTGGAGTATGCTTGTAGATTACTGTAAAAAAAAATCTGATCTATTGTATGTTGAAACATGTTTGAACATTGTCAGTCTTGATGAATCTTAATGCTTTTCTGGTGGTGTGCTCTGCACAGATAACGCCAAAAAGGGCGGCAACGGCAGGGATTGATGTTTAACCAGCATTCATCTGATAACTTCAACAAGTTGTCTATTTTTATCCAAGCTGCCCATCTCTACTTTCCTTGCATATGGTCACCAAAGCTCTTCTTTATATGTGCAAATGTGCGTAGCATCCAGCTATATTACATTTTGGAACCAGCAGAGATGATTTGGAGCTGGTGTGTCTGTGTACAGTTGTGTGTTTCTCTCCCTTTTTTTTTTTTTTTTTCTTCAGCAGAGCAGTTCATGAAGCATGAAATTAAACTCTGAACGTATGTAAACGTTATACTTATTGACAACTGATTTGAAATTCTGTGGTCTTCATCACTTATTGACTTTGTAATAACAAATTTAAAACCAATTGTAGTTTTGTGATTTGAGTTGGAGAGAGAGAGGAAGATGGAAAGTGTGAAGGAGGGAGAGAAATTGTCCATTTGCACTCTGTTCACAAGATTTACAACTGCTCCTTAAAGAAACGCTCATCCCCTTTGTGTATAAGGAAATGTTCTTGCTCAAAATTGTGTTCAAAAGCCATGTGGTTGAAATTCACTGGAGAGCTGTGCAGTTTTTACACAACTAATGAACAGTTATGGAACAATATTTATTGGTGTATTTGCAGAAGACTGGGAAGATTTACAACGGTGCACTAGACATGGCTCTCTATCCTGACTGAGAGGAGCTTTGAAAGGAGCCGCTGAAGTGCTCCTTTGCTTAACAAAGGTCATTACGATGAAATTGAACTGACCTGTTTAGCATGTGTGGATGGGGTGACTGCACACAGTTTAAATGAGTCACTACGTGCAACACAGCCGGATGTATACCAGGTCATACTATTGATCTAATTCTGTTCTCTATGATCAAAAGAGCTTCTGAAGCTTTTGAAATCAATGAGTTCGTGGTTTGAGACATTTTGATCTTTGGTTAAAGTACTTCACTGAAAATTAATGGTGGTGGATACTTCAAATTCTATTATCCATCCAAAGCCACACAGCCTTAATGCTACTATATCTATAGTATTAGGATGTCACAATCTTGTACCAAAAGATTTTTGTTTCATTTTTTTATTTATTTTTTTTTTTATTTTATTAATGTAACAATCTAAGACTCACAAAGGGTGGACATGTTTAAAATTTAAGCCAAATTCTATCCGTTCATTGCAACAATAACATTTCATGTGCACATGAAAATGTCTAAAAGAGAAAACATTTGGTAATTTGTTGCTGTACAAATGACCAAATTTACTAATGTCAATGTTTAATAGAGGATCCACATACGGTCTAAAAGGCCAGCAAGTCAGGATAGTCATCCTGTCAAAATTAGTGGCATTTTCAGTTTTTATGTCCCAACAGTCTAAATCATGTGTTTATCTGCACAATTTATACACAGAAAGAAGTTAGCTCAAACCAGTTTATTGTAATTATACTAATGCAGCACATTTGTATATGTACATTTTATATTCAGCTGAGTTTTAAAGGCTAGCCAGTGTTTATTCATGCATTTTTTTTCATTCCTTTTTTTTAAGGTTTACAACTAACAGTGCATATATTAGTTTTTTTCTGCACAAGCTCACTGTCAAGGGGGGTAAAAACTTCTTGCATCTAAAATGATAACCTGGCATGCCTTTTCAGCAAACACCTAGCTAAAATCCCTCAGTGGGTTTCACACACTTTTCTATTTGCTTATTAGCTCCAAATAGCCAGATAGACTCTTGATTCTAGTGAGATGCAATAAAAAAGACATTGAAATGAGTGCACCCAACAAATACTCAGCCCACTGAAGTACATGAGGCAAGTGGTGGCTTGTTAAACCCCCCACCTTTTCAAATCCTTTCTCTCCCTTTAAACTGGTAGCTGCT